TCCTACTGACAAGAATATCCCATTTTTTCACATTTAAACGAACAGATACGTATAATTTTCTTTTATCTCTAAGGTATTGTAAATATAAGACTGAGCTTTCTTTTATGTAAAAACGAGACGGTGTTTCTTAACGCTGTTCCGAGAAAATCATGATGTAACACTCTTCCTAAAGGATACTTCAATTTCACGGACTTTTTGAATGTAACGGCCGATTTAACGGAATAAAACGAGCACAGAATAAGGTAGCGTCTACTTAAAGGAATTCGGTAGTCTTGCACACGACAGGACCGAAGAAATATTGTCACAGAAGGATCATTTAAAATTCACAGTTCGCTTACGCGGTTTTTGTTCATGACGGTTCGGCTGGTAGCACCCACGGCTAGACTATATTCTTCGGGTGAAGAGATGCGCAAAAGTCATTTCGGTATTTCTTAATCTGCACATCTACAAATTGTTTTAGTGTTTTAGATTATTGATGTGATTTATTACGTTTTAGTCGGTATTCTTTTAGGTAATGTTAAGTTAATAATAGAGTTTAATAAATCATACTGGACTGATTGGACACGCACCATCCCACATCCTTAATTGTAATCTAGGTCTACCTCTCCTCCTCTTAACTCCTGTTTCTGCTTCTAATATAACTCAAACCAGCCCTACCGTCTATGAGGATTCTACTTTCTTTTTTTCAAAAACAAATCTCTAAAGGATGGCGAACGACACATTTTGAATTTTACTAAAATAACTCAACTCCAATTAAACCTAAACCTAAGTTGGCATTATTATCGTCGTCATAGTTTTCAGTAAAATTTATTTTTACTGAGAAATACAAAATGAGCAAACCCCTGTTTTAAAGGTCGGCGTCTCTCTAACAAAGTCCATTATTTCTTTTCACTTTAATTAAGTCCATTTGTAAATATCTCCGAGCTGGACTGTACGTGATAAGGCTTAGAGTTCTGTTTGATCACATCTGCAAGACATGTACTAACTGTTTCCTAAATTTCGTCCCTTTTAAAGCTGCACATATTTAATGGACCTGCTTTTATTAAAGGTCTACGTCCTTTTTTTTTTTGGGAAATTACTTCGATTTAGATATTTTCTATCAGAACTGCTAAATATTGTGGACAAAATTTAACAACAATGAGAATAAAAAAGAATTTATTTTTGTATTTATTTCTCGAAACCTACGGTAAGCACCTGATTCCGGGAATTCCTTAAGGTCCTGCTCAAAAAAAGATATGTATCTTTTCCCCAAATAGAAAGATAAACAACATCATTTCTTTTCAGTCCGTTCAAGGGTTTTGATTTTCAAGTAAGAAATTGGGAAAATGGGGGAGCTTTTATAGTAGAAAGAGAGGAAGCCATAAAAAGTTCGAAAGAAAAATTAACACGCCTTCCTTCTCATTTTGGAAATTTATGGTACGGCAACTGACATTCAAAGTAGCTGCCCACTACAAGCCATAAATATTTAGGGAGTATCTTCAGAAATTTTATGGGCTTTTGTAAAAAAAATAAATAGCAGTCCGTTCTTCTTTACAATTAATAAATATACACGAACGAATAAGGATTCCATTATTAGAAGTTCCATGATATAAATGGTAAAACTCTTTAATTATAAACAATTTTCAGAATTTAATATGAACTCTTAATGGTCAATTCATTAATGTGAGTGTTAGGACGTAATAATGAAAAGCAAAGTTGAATTGCCTTGTTTAGAAGGAAATGTATAAACCTATTTTGTTTATGCAATATTTTTTAAAAGTGTCTCTGGAATTGCACTGTAAAACAGGAGCATGATGCAATTAGAAAAGACTTCGTACTCAAAAAAAAAAAAAATGTTAATTACTTTTGGCGCAATATTTAAAAAATATCTTTAAAGGTGGTTGTTTGATTTAAAAAAAATCTTTTAGTTAGGTGCGTGTTTTGGACTTTTGTTCGCGAAGAAAAAAGAGAATCGTATCCTTTGAAGACGAAGGGAAGTATGTAGTGAAACATACCTTCAAAGGACATCGGTGCCTCAGGCCTCCCTACGGTATGTGTATACTCCCTTTTGGACAGAGAACGTACATGAAAATGACTCCTTTCAAAAGAAACTAGAAATTTAGTTAATTAAAGTAAGTCAAATGAATTCTCTTTGAATCTTACATACGTGTGTATGCTGCAGGTGCAAATAAAAGGTAGCAAAAGGTCAAATTTCCGCTTTTGTTACAAAACTAAAACTAGATAATCAAATGTAGTAATCAGATCCTTCAGTAGCACTTAAATAAAACCACATCTGATTCAATACCTACTCTAAACGCATTGGCGACTTTAACATTTATTAAAATCGTGAATGAAAACAGGGGAAAAAGAAGGAACCACTTTACATGCATTAAAACCTATTTAACTGAAATGTTTTAATGTTTATGTTGAACTTGAACTAAACATCGATGTCTGCAGCAGAAACTGGTTTTTACGAATAAATTTTAGTGTTGGTAACTCCAAAGTTTATATCATGTCCGATTAGTGGTTTGTGGACAGGTTTGCAAACAACAAAAGCATGTGTGGTCAACTAAAAGCATCCCTGTTATGTGAAAACGGAATTTCCATCTTGAATTGCATCTAACACTAACTGGAAGTGGGTGAGAGGCGATTACAACCATATATGCCACTTCGGCAAAAAATACCCTAGCCGAACTTTTAAGGATGCTTTTAACAAAAGGGAATATTTGGCGCATATGGAATTTCTATTGACTTTTACATTGAACAAGGTAAAATTTCATTACTTTCCATAGGGCCACTTAGCTTCACTGATTGCATTTTATCGCTTTTTAACTTTATTCTCATATGCTTTCAAAAAATTTAGTAACGAAAATTGTACAAAATTGACTTATGGACATAAAGAGCACCCTCGCCCTCATTAAGCTCCATGAAACAAAGAAAAACTAATAATGTCTTCTAATATAATAACAAAATTTACAAAGGGGTAGCAATAAACAATTAGTCTGAATGAAATGAGGGCTTTTTTGTATTTCTCGTATAATTACAGAACAACTTTCAGTCAGCATTTTACCTGTTACCGAAACGGTTAGTACAAAAACACTAATGTAATTAATTACTGCCTAGGTTAAATTAGTTAGTGGGACCATTTAGATTGAATACTGATCATGTACGTATATTTACAATGCACGGTTCAAAGCAGCCAACATTACTTTTTTTTATCTACCTGTAAAACAGTTTATATCGGTGACTTATACGAGCCTTAGGGTCTTGCGGTAACATATGTTTAAAAGAGACCGCAAACATTTTAGTAACACTTCTAATGGTCAGTCTAGTTTTGGAAAGAACCATTTCCCGGTGAAACGTTTCTTTTATTACTCTCGTATATTAAAGCAGGTAGATACTAAAAGAGCGTGTTCTCTCGATTACATTACATTACATGCATTATTATATCGCATTATAAGCAGAAAAACTACTATTAGAATTAACACAAAAATATTTTTTTCTGAACAACATTTCATATTTGGTGTTTCTCATTGAAACTTTGTATTTTGTTTTATGTCTTTAGCACTTTTTCCAGTGGAAATCGTTGGAAAATTTTACAACAAAGTAAGCATTTGGTTCAGCTAAATTCCGTCGAAACAAAAATTATAATCGCCCTCAAAAACGGCTTCAAGTTGCAACATTAAAGAGACTAAGTTTTCAAAAGTGTCATTCGCAGACTAAATGAGAAAACAATGGTAGATCACGTATATCCGCGTATAGAGCACACATTGGCATCTGAATGACTTGCGGCTGTTTATTACACAAATTTCCCACTTGGCATTAAGCTTAATTAGTGTGTATGAACAATTTTCATGTTTACCAAATACCTGCTCGCATTTCTATTTTAACATTGTTCATATCAAGTTACGTTTCCCCGATGCTGTTACCAACTCTTCAACTATTGACAAACAAACGTCTATTCTATTCCATATTGATCAGCCCATTATACGAACTGAACAGTGATTGTCAATATCTTTAAAACAAATACCTAAATACCTATTACAACAACAAAAGGTAAGCTAAAACCTATTCGATCAACCTCAATTCATTATAATAAACCAAAGTAATTTCAAATAAACAAAAGTAGCATCAAAGAACTCCAACACATGTAATTTTCTATAATACCGTTAACGATGGTATAGGGAGTTAACACAGATCCATTCAGCAATAAATAAACTCGAAAGGGTTAAATAAACTAAAAGAAAATTCACCCTAGTTGCCACTAACCATTTTCCCTTCGGACATGCGATTCACCCACTTATAGTGTCGAAATCATCAAGGCGAAATAGTAACTGTATGGTGAGTCCCTTTTTAGATTATTTATTCCTCATTTTCTACTTTGAAGAGCTTAGAACAGACGTTAGGTATTTGTAGTTTCTGGTGTTTGAATACTTAGAAATTTCAACTAAGCTGTTTGTACCAACTTTGGTAGTTACTATAGTTGAATGCTACAATGATTTAATACTTGTTATGTAGAAGTCTTCTTGACTTCTTCTTCTGTAAAAGTTCTGAACTTTTCATTATAATAATTACGGTGAAAGGTATTTCTTGCGGGCTTTTATTTTAATTATAATTTATAGAAAAAAGGCGACAGAAACCAAACCATTGATGTAGGGAAAGGTTTGGATTTGGTTAGAGTTGGACAGCATCGAAGAGCAAATTTTAAGAAAGTTACTTTAGAAATTAATGTATATAATATATAACATTTATTAAGTATGCAATGTGACTTTTATGGGTGACATTTTGATAATTTAATTTAAAAAAAGAAGAAGTAAATACCTGAATTCTTTTTTGGTAGATATGAAGAGTTTTAATCGAAGTTGTCAAAAGTTCTCTTTGAATAGGTTCTCTGAGTGAGATAAAAAGGCTTGAACGTACCAAAATATTCAACTTAGCAAACCTTTCCAATTTTAAAGCTGAACCATTTTTGATTTAGAAATAACGTACACCATAAATTTAACAGCTGACGTTAAACTCACCTGTCAATCAGGACGAAATCAACTCCACTGGCCTCCCGGATAAAAATTTACAACCGCAAATTCATCTGAAACAAGTGAGACATCCCAATGATTATTTATCATTTAAAATTCCCCTATGTTACTTTACATTCATGCAACATTTAATCAAAATTACCATCGCAAGTAAAAACATTATTCAGAACAACTTCTAATAAGAAATAGAAAAGCAACATTTATTTAATTGGTATATTAATGTACAAAACTGATTCAAGAAAAATGGTAACTACAAAAAAAAAAACTCTTTTTTTAACCATTTACTTTAAAAGAATCATTTTTGTTATACAAGCCGGTAAAAGTCTTAAAAAAATCAATTCCATTCGTACCCACTTAAGTATCCTTTTAACATCTAATAAAAGGTATAACGTAAAGAAGGAATAACTAAACCTCTTCAACGTTTACTAACCAACGTAGCAAACGAATGCAAAAAAGCAAAAGAACAATTTACCTAGAGAGAAAGAATTAATTGCTTCTCTCATGCAACCAGAAAAATCGCAGAAGAAAACTTTTGCAAAGAAAAAACACAATTATCCTTCTTGTTACTGTTATTAAAATCACAAAGGCAATAAGACTGTTTTTATTAAACATCAACGCAATTCTCCGTAATACTTAATTCACCCAGAAATAAATAAAAATAAAATAATTTTATAATAAACCCTCAGTGACGTAACAGTCGTTACACAGCTGAATATTTTTCTTTTCTTTTATCGAAAAGACGAATCGTTAGATGAATGAACTTTATATATACCTATAAGTATAAAGGTACATAGAATGTCTTCAGAATTTTTCTTACCGTGCAATGTTTACTAATTTAAACTGACTAATTAAAAATTAACGAGAATCATAAGGAAATAGAGTAAAAAATGTTTCTTCTCCTTTCTTTCGTCAAACGAGCTCCATATCCATGTACCTTGATGTGATACCTTTGTCTTACCTTATATCAAAGTTTCATAAAGAATTTCTAAAAGGAGTAAAATGTTCAATTAAAATTTCTTTTCGTTTAAAGAACGGGCAGTTTTTCATTTTTACTTAAAAGGAAATAAGAAAATGTCGATCAATTTTTTATTTAAATGCCAGATCCATTCGCCTGAGAATAAACCGTGTAAAAATAAAGCAACCTACAGTTAACAAAAAAGTTTTCTTAAGGAAATGTGATTGGGGGGGGGGTTAATTTCCAATGAGTAGCTATAGCAACCAGTTGAACCCCATTCTATCATTTGTTTCAACTTAATTCTGACGAATACCATTGGAATTACGTCAGTAGTTCTTTATTATGTTAATTAATAAAACACTTTAAATCAAATTGTAACTTGCAAATAACAGGAAACACTATTTCAAAGGTAACATTAACACATAGAAGTATTTAATAATTTTGTTAATTGGGGGAAGTGACAATTGGTTTTGCAAGTTGTCCCATAAGATAAAGAAAGATTAGCATTACTTGATAATGTACTTACTTTAATTTTTTAATTAACTTTTTCGGTTATTATTGTTCGACTATGCCTTGTTTGAGCGATTAAATAAAGGACCAATTAGTAAAATTATCGCTGGCTGTATATCGAATATTATTTACGAAATTGGAGCTCTCCTAGGGGGTTAAGACTGAGAAAATTACCCTTCAAAATCAGCGAAACAATGGAAAGATAAATTAAGGTTGTTTCTTCTAATGTTGAAAATCAGAAAGGAAGAACGGCAAAGGAGAAGTGTGATTGATATTATGATGTTCACAATAATATATGAAACGAAATGAAATAAAAGAGATTGCCTTTAAGCTATTTTTCTCCATGTTGTGTAAAGACTGTATCTCAGGAATATACATTATTCTTGAAAGAGCCATATTTTAAAAAAAAAAGATAAGCTATAAACATACGTGTATACGAGAACCAAAAGGCCAACGTATCTACTTAGTTTCTTTATCTCAAAATAAAAAACAACTCTAAGCTGTTTAGTACTTCAGGGAATTATCTAAGAGAGCAATAAATACTTTACATAAACGACAACTCCTCCTAAACCGCCGTAAACGATTCTTTTAAAGTTTAAAATTACAAATGACGACCGAATTATAAAAATAAATAAAAAAGTACACTTGTATGTATATGTCTCTGACTTCTCTCCGATTTTAATAACTCCCAAAAAATAAAAAGTGCTAATTACTATCCCTAGCCAAATAAAATTTACAGAAATAAAGAAACAAAATCAACGAATTAACAACGACGTTTCGCATTTCTAATGCAACTTTTGGTGTTTCTTGTAATATTGATTATGAAATTACAGCAGAAAGTCTACACGGTGAAGATTTGCGAGACAATTATCACCATTAACTCAAAAGTTAGAGGCAATTTTTATTCGTCCTAATGTGTCAGCCTTAACATAATCTACAGACAAAACGATTTTTCGATCGAGACGATACCACTTATCGTTGTTAACTAAATATCAATTTACAATGACATTAGGAGTTTAATTCGTATCAGTTTTATCCAAATGGTTTAAATACGTTTTGAAAAAATTAACCAAAAAACTCGCAAAAGTTTAGCGCAAATTAAACCCTGTATGGTTGAAACCCTATAGATCAATAGTAATAAAATTAAATTGGAGGGTTATTTGTAAAACAGTGGTTAATTTGTTCTAACAACGTGGTTCGTCGTGTCGAAAACTAAATTACAAACCCATTTAATGCCAATATGGAATGCACGAACGGTAGGCATTTCAAACGACATGCAAATTCAGAATCCCACATTACCCTGTTAATCAAAGAGGAGCCAATTGTGCGAATAGCTGCGGTATGTATTATACGTACATATATAACTACCTATCAAAATCAGAATGAACTTGCTTCGGTGATTCGATTTAAAAGCACAAAAAAGGCAATTTCGATTGTAGTTAGGTGAACACGAACTAATCGGAATTAAAACTAACTCGTTATAAAATTGCTAATACAGTGGAATTCGTTTGTTACGTCTCCGCCTATATTGACCAACCGCTAAATATGAAGTAATTACAGTGTTAAGTTTGGTTTTCATACTAAAATTCTCTATAGGAATGTTTGGATATAATGACTCCACTTAAGAAGACATATCGTTTATTATGAAATCATATCCGACTATAGTGACCCAAATGATTAATAATAACATTTTCGTTCACTTTCCTGATCCTTCTTATGTATATTAAAGTTACAATTCATCGTTCTTTTTCTTTTTCTGTTAATAAATATAAACAATTTGTAGTTTTTCTCTGTATTAAACTAAATAACTAACAAAAATAGAAAGTTGTTTATTTTCTAAGACTATGCTTTATATGACGTGTTTATCATTTCCCTTCCCATTATAAGCGGATTCTACTGTAAATCAACATTTCTGTTTTATCGTTTATTTAAATTTCTAAAACTTCTAAATTATATTGCAATNCCTTTGTAGGTAAAAGTTTCTTTATTCCATTCGTTAAAAGATTCTTTTTTATTAAGAACATTTAATTAACAGCCTTCTATCGGAAAGTTGATCGCATTCAAAATGAGTAAAAAGTTTCAAATGAGTAATAAGTTTTGTTAAAATTTTCGAAGATTATAAAATGATTAATAATAACATTTTCGTTCACTTTCCTGATCCTTCTTATGTATATTAAAGTTACAATTCATCGTTCTTTTTCTTTTTCTTCTGTTAATAAATATATACAATTTGTAGTTTTTCTCTCTATTAAACTAAATAACTAACAAAAATAGAAAGTTGTTTATTTTCTAAGACTATGCTTTATATGACGTGTTTATCATTTCCCTTCCCATTATAAGCGGATTCTACTGTAAATCAACATTTCTGTTTTATCGTTTATTTAAATTTCTAAAACTTCTAAATTATATTGCAATCAATTCTATGACCTTTTTGTGTCTCCGCTCGTCTTCTATAAAGACTTACGTCTTCAAAAATTTTTACAATATATTTTTAGAGCAACTTCTAAATCGCGGTCAATATCTATCTATCAATATCAAAATTTTCCCTCAAAAACCTGAGGCAGTTTGTAGTGGATAGAAAATTGAAAATGAATTTTCACATTAATATTCAATATCTGGTTTCAATTTTAAGTATTGAATTTACGATCAAATGAGCGCGAATGTGTTTGATTGAAATTATCTATATAATATCTACATTTGTAATCGCGCTATGATCGTGGCGCAAATTCGGCATACTTCATTATCCATAAAATTTTGAACTTTTCATGCTATGAATTTGAAAGAAAATTTTGCCACTCAAGTTCTGCGCGTACCTACTTGACCCTTGCACTTTAAATAACGCATACAGCAAAGAGAAGCTGACTCACAATAATTTGGCCCAAGTGTGTCTCTACCACGTTTACTCCACATAATGGAAAATATTCCATTGTTGGAAAGGCAGATTACTTCCTGTTTTGTTGAGACGAAATAAGTGGAGAGGTGAACGCAATATGCAATATACCTTGAATTTTATTCCGGGAACGTATTTTTTCTTATCACTATTTCTCAGGCATAGCATTTAGTAGAAGAGAAAAATAAAGTGGGTAGGCCTTCTTTTTTTTTTTATTATCTTTTTTTCAGTAGAATTTGAGTAGATACATACGTACATTCTGACGAATTATTCCTAAACTGCTAGTCACAACCGTATCAAAGCTAATCCATCAACTCAACCCTCTAGAGAAAATCGTTTCGAATTTCTGGACCATTTTCAGAAAAAATAAATAATAATGTTAGGTAAGGAATATATTATATTGATATTTAGTATAAGTCCTACGGGGTTTCCACTAATTTGGAATTTCGTTGGCATACCCTTTCAGGATCTTACGACTATGTCATGATAATTTTCTGGTATAGTTCTTGACTCGTTTATTGGCATCATTAGCAAATGAAATTAAAATTATCAATTATAACAGAAAGTGAAACAATTTGTCCATATGAAATTATATGTATGTATAATATGATATAGGTTCGTTGGTATGTAATATAATTGTACATGTGAGTGAAGGTATCGTTTATATATTAGATATAATCGAACATCACTGTGTCATT